AGTGAAGAGGACTTGAAGCACTTACTGATGAAGATCAAAGACCACAGCCTTCGGTACGGATTACACCTCAACATAAAGAAAACAAAAATCCTCACAGCTGGTCCAATGAGCAACATCATGATAAATGCAGAAAAGACAGAAGCTCTCAAAAATTTCATTTCACTTGGATCCACAATCAATGCCTATGGAAGCAGCAGTCAAGAAATCAAAGGACACATTACATTGGGCAAATCTGCTGCAAAAGACATCTCTAAAATTAAAAAGCAAAGATGTCATTTTAAGGACTGAGGTGCCCCTGACCCAAGCCATGGTGTTTTCAATCGCCTCATATGCATATGAAAGCTGGACAATGAATAAGAAGACCAAAGAAGAATTGATGCCTTTGAATTATGCATCGGTGTGGGTGAAGAATATTGAATTTCCCATAGACTACCAGAGGAACGAACAAATCTGTCTTAGAAAAAGTGCAGCCAGAATGCTCCTTAGAAGCAAAGAAGGTGAGACTTCGTCTCATATACTTTGGACATGTTATCGGAAGGACCAGTCCCTGGAGAAGGACATCATGCTTGGTAAAGTAGAGGGTCAGCGAAAAAGAGGAAGACCCTCAAGGAGATGGATTGACAGTGGCTGCAACAATGGGCTCAAACATTGCAACAACTATGAGGATGGCGCAGGGCTGGGCAGCATTTCTCTGTCGCACACAGGGTCACTGTGAGTCGGAACTGACTCGGCGGCACCTAACAATAACAGAACAACCAGATGCACAGGCAGGGCCAGAGTCACAAGTACACAAGGGCCGAGCTTTGCTCTGGACGAACAGACAGAGGCGCTAATGTTGAGAACGGCGCATTAACTGAGCAGGGCCTAGTGGCTCTAGTCACCACTTCCTCCCACTGATGGAGAGGCCCCACTGGTTGGGCCTAGGCACTGCCGGAGGCACAGAGGGCCTTGTCCTCAGAAACACTCCATCTCTCCTTGTCTTCCTTATCTGTCCTCGTCCTCCTCCTAACAACTCAGGGCTGGCAGATGCAGAGGTCTGCTGCAGACAGCAGAGCCTCGGCAGACAAGGCGGCCCCCGGGACGCCCAACGACACAGGCAGTGGACTACAGGTTAGATTCAGGGGCTGCGGGGACCGGGACACAGAAGGGATGCAGCTACCACATCCGGAGCAGCGAGTCACCTCACCCTCAAGCGGTCCAGAACAAAGTTGTGCAAATGTGACAAAATGCTAGTCACCTCAGTGAGCCCGGATGAGGGGGAGACGGGTTTGTCACCCGACTCTCCCAGCTTTTCTGAGTTAGAAAACTAATAGTAAGGAGTTGAGAGATGAAAAGGGGGAAAACGCAGCATAGGATTTCGAATTCTCACAGACTCCAGACTTTCTGGAGCCACGGAGGCTGGATGAACCCCAGAAACTACTGCTGAGGTAATCTTTAAACCTGAAACCAAAAATATCCGAAGGGTTCTTAAAGCAAACAACAGCTTAGCTTAACTAGTAAAGACTGTCTTAGTTGAGCATTATGCTCTTTAAGATCTATGTAGGATTGAACTGACAAAAATAACTTGAAAGAGTAGGTAGGAACCTTGGGGGCGGTGGGTTTGTTAATGGGGAGGAATGGCTCAGAAAGGAGGGTGAGAAGGGTCGCACAACTCAAAGAACGTAATCAGTATCATAGAATTATAGAAACTGTTGAACTGCCTTATGTTTGCATGTATATATTCTCAACAACAACAAGTAAAACAAAAATTGGCGGGATGAAGGCTCTGCTTCACTCAGCAGGCCCATTGGGAACACGCCGTTCATCCAACTGCCCACAGCTGCTCTCCTCTTGGAAGGAGGGGAGAAACAAACCCGGGCTCACCCCCGCCCAGTTCTGATGCTTGTAGGGAGCATCACAAGGCACGCTGCGACCTCCCAGGCTTCCACGCCAGCCACACACGAGGATGGCACCGCTGGCTCAGCCTGCCAGGCCCCAGCCGGCGTCCCCTGGCACCGAGGCTGCGTGCTCTGGTCTTGCTCCCCAAGGAGACTGCGGCAGGGCACCCTGCTGCCCCAGCTTTTCCTGATTCGAGTGTTTAAACCCCAACCCCCCGAGGTCACACCTATTCTAATCGATAGATCATGTAACATATAGCTTCTCTACCTTTAAAAATAAGCATCAGTGAGTTTTTTTTTAAGTCTCGATGTTGAGAACTCAAGAGCTGACTCAGAAGTAGAGGGAGAGAAGACTGATGGGACACAAAGGAGACAGAGGCGCAGGTGCCCTTCCCCGGAGAGTGGGCCAGGCCTCTTGGGAGGCGGGAGATAAACACGGAGGTCAAGATGCTGGCCTGGGCATGTCACAGGAATGAAATAGGAAACGTAAACGGATTGCAGATATTTGCTTATTAACATTCCCATTAACGGTAGCACCCAACGCTGAGTACTCTGGGCCGTGCTGCTGCATAACTCGAAGCAGAGGCTCGAGAAGCACCCCAGATACATCAACTGAGCACTTTCCAGCAAGTCTGTCCAAGAGGTTAAAAGCACAGCTCATTAGACAACAACAACAACACTTACTTGTCTTTCTGTGTCCGGATGGGATGGGAGTTTTCCAACCCAAGTATATCATCCAGGGTAAAAGGACTCTCAAGCTTGCTGGTCATAGTAGGACTTAAGATCCTGTGCGTCTGTGGATCCCGCAAAGGTGTCTGAAAAGTTACCTGTCAGGGGAGTGAGAAGGAAAGAGGGCTTGTTAAATAATTCAGCCTCCTCAATCGCATTGGCAACAGCGTGCCGGCTCAGGAAATCACCAGCAAAGCAGGCCGGTGGAGGAGGGGTGATACGCATTCCATTTTACCTGGGGATAAGACAGACTCACCTTCATCGCTTTGGCTATGTTTTTGGGTGGCACATTTTCTTTCTGTGACAGACGAAGGACAGATGATCTTCCGGTTAGTTCTTGTGGTGAAAACAGGAAGTCGCAGTTCTCTGTAGTCTTGTCACCGATGACGTTTTCGTCCTTTAACATCTGCAGACTCATTCTGGAGAAAAGCAGACCATATTTGTGTCAGCACAAGGGTGACAACGCTGGGGTCACGTCATCCAGAGACCAGAGACCTTGGTAACCCTGCAGGGCACGATGCCCCCCCTTTCTGTAGCAGACTGGTTGTGCACCCTGGAACCCACGCCTCCCACAGCGTGTCCTTTGGCGGGCGGGAAGAGGAGTGGGGCCCATCCTGCCTCAGAGGGTGCTGCCTCTCCCACCAGGCAGAGAGGCCATGGGCAGGGCCACTACCTCCTGGACCAAGAGCTAAAAGGTCCTTCAGCCTGAGAAAATGAGAAAGAAACCCTAAACATGGGCAGTAGCTTGTGAGGCCAGATCATGGATTACTGTCTTGGGTACAAAGCTAGGAGAAAGGAAGTGCTGGCTTGTAAGAAAACTCAAAGAGGCAAAGGGCACCTCAGTCTCCCCCAGACTTCCCTCCCTGGTGCGGTCACAATACACAGAGCAGCCGGGACACTGAGTCTAGCTAACAGAGAAGAACAGCAAAGCGGAGCCATGGGCTGGCACCAGGCCAGAAAGCGGGGACTGGATGAGGGCGTTAGGAGGAGCCGGGGAGGAGTGAGCGCTGTGGTCCAGAAGGATGTGCGGTGTCAAGGAGCCTTCACAATGGCCTGGAGTCTAGAACACACACCAGGGGCCTCCGGCTGGGCCCTGCAAGCTCTAGAATGGCTCCCCCTCCTGCTTCCCAAGTCCTTCTGGTCGGCTCCCGACGTGACACACATTGTCTTGCTTCTGATAGCACTGCTGAGGAGTCAGGTATACCAGAGAAACTGGGTGTGCTAGTAAACAAGAGGGGAATCCCAGAAGGCGGCGCCTGCCCCCTCTTGGCACTCCGGGCCCTGGGGCCGCAGTCTGCAGAAGAGGAAGAAGGCCAGCAGGGCTGGAATAGAGGGAGCAAAAGGCAGCCTGGAAGGAGCCAGGACAGTGGGGCCGTGGGCAAAAGCTTGTGTGTGACAGGATGCCTTCGGAAGGGGTGGGGGTGGGGCAACATCATTAACCTGGCTTTACAGACCACTCTGGCTGTTGTGTGGAGGGTGGACAGCAAGGGTCAGGAAGGGAAGGGGAAAAATCAGGTTACGGCAGTTATGGGGGGGATGGCCCACCCTGTGTGACTGCACAGTGGGAGAGATGTCAGATCCAGGCATGGCCACCGGACCTACGTGGATACATGAAAGCAGGAAGATGCAAATCAAGGGCCACCCTTAGGCTTTTGGCCTGAGCTGTGGGTTGAACCGGGCAGGCAGGCGGGAGGAGCTGGATGGCTGCAGGTGCATAGGTCAGGACCTTGGGGAGAGGGGACCTGGCCTGGCGGAACCCCTGCTGAGAATCTGCATTTCTGACAAGTTCCCTGCTGAAAATCTGCATTTCCACCTCAGATATACTAAATCAGAATCTACATTTTAACAAGACCCCCAGGTGATTCTTATGTATAACTTCCCGGGAACCTGACCCAACAGGTTCAAAGCCCTGGGCAGGAGAGTGTTAGGTATGGCTTCGACTCTGCTACATGGGGAGCCATGGAAGGCGGTCATGAGCAGAGTGACAGATCAGGCTTGTATTCTGAGGCCACTCTGCAGTGCCAAGAAGAGACTGTGGTGGAACAAGGAAGCCATCGAGTGGCTACTACAACAGTCCTGGTGGGAACTAGCAGCCTGGGCCAGGTTGGCCGAAGCACGGGTAAGAGGCTGGAGTTGTGGTTTTTGTGGTAGGTGGTGCAAATGGTTAATGTGTGAGCAGATAGTGCTCAGCTGCTAACTGAAAGGCTGGGGGTTCAAGACCACCCAGAGGAGCCTCGGAAGAAAGGCTTGGCAATCTATTCTAAAAAATACCAGCCACTGAAAACTCTATAAAGCACAGTTCTACTCTGACACACATGGAACCACTGAGTCGGAATCAACTTGATGGCAACTGGTTTTGTCTTTTCTGACACAGGTAGGGTTTGTGATGGCTCACGTGCTTGGTATGGGAGGAAGCAGCACAAAGGATGGCCCCAAGACAAGAGTGAGCTGCTAGGGCACAGCTGGAGGGGACAGCAGGAAGCCGGGCGGGGGCTGGGGATCCTGTCTCAGATACCTGGGGAGGGGGCATTGAGTCGGCAGGCCAAGTACAGGAGACCGCGTTTGCATGTCAGCAGCCTACACGTGCTGTTTGAAGCTGGATGAGGTCATCCAGGGCGTGGGTAAAGAGGGAGAGGGTGCAGAGGGAGAACGAGACGGGCCCATGGACTGAGCCTTAACATGCAGACTTTTTGAAGGAGACTTTTTTTATGTATGAAGTGGTTGGTAAAACAGGAGAGCCACCAAGAGTGGGGGCTCAGGAGGGAGGTGGAGAAAGGGCTTCAGAGGATGCAGCGGCCAGGTAAGACAAGGATTTACCAACGTGCAAGTTGTTGGGGACCCCCACAAGAGCGTGACTGGGATGGTGGTGGCAGAAGCCTGACTGGAGTGGGCTGAAGGGGGTGGCTGTAGAGACAGCAGATGTAGACGTGTTCAGAAGTATTGGGAGGGAAAAGGGCAAAGAAATGGTTAGTAGTTTGAAGGAGGAGTGGTATCACATTCTAGAAATGAATGTCACATATACTATGCTGATGAAAGGACCCAGCAGAGGCTGGCTGGCAATGAGGAAGAGTGAAGAGATAATAAATGCACAGCAAAGTCCTTGAGTGATAAGAAAGAAGGGGCGTGAGCTCCGGGGTGACAGCTCCTCCATCCCACAGAAACAAATAGAGGGCCTGGGCAGAGGCAGGGAGGAGAGTGGGAGTTGCTGCATGTTCTCTTCCAATGCTTCCATGGTCTTATCGAACCAAAAGCAAGGTCGTCGGCTGAGACGCAGGTGTTAGAAGTTTGAGAAGAGATGAAGTAGTGAGGAGGGGGAGTGGGGTCGGGGGGACAGACGTGGGGGCAGAGTAAGACGGCCGGGAGCGGAAGGAGAGTGAGCAGGGCCGAAGGGGAGCCTGAGGTCCTGTCGTCTTGGGTGACAAGCACGGGATAGGGCGGGAAAAGCTCCCCTCCCCCACAGTCACCCAATCCAGGTCCTCGCCATCACCTGCACCTGAGCCAAACACCCCCAGCACGCAGACTGCACGACAAAACGCGAACCTTCCGGCGCTGGGGTCAGAGCCCTCCCAAAGGGCCCCCGGCTGGGGCAGGGCCGGAGAGGGGCCCCAACGACACAGCGCGGTGGGGGGCTCAGACGCGGCGGGCTCGGGCGGCCGGGACACGGGGTCGAGGGTCAGGGAAAGCTTCCGTGGGAAGTGGTGGCCAAGAAGAGGCCTGCTGAGCCCCCGAGAGCAGAGACCAAGTGAGGGACCACGCCCGAGGCCGCCTGCGCTGGCCCCAGCTGAGAGACTGCAGGGCCCGGCGTCCGGAAGGTCCGCGGGCGTCTCCAGCCCCTCGGCCGCCTGCCGCCGCCAGGGGCCGGGCTCCTCCCACCGCGACCGGGGCGGGGACCGGGAGTCGGCCGCCTGCCTACCTGCCCGTCCGCCCGCCGCCGGGCTCCGGGCTTGCGCCCCGCTGCTTGCCGAGAAGAAAGAGACGAGAGAGGCGCCTGCTCCGCCAAGGCCGCCAAATCCGGGGCGCCGCCGGGATCACCGCCGCGCCCCGCGGATTCAAATACCGACGGTTGACTCACGCGGCCAATCAGCGCGCGGCGGGGGAGGGCGGGCAGTGCAACGAGCTGCGGAGCCAATGGGAGGCTGCGTCTCGCCGACCCCTTCCCCTGCACGCAGCGCGTATTCTTCCCCGGCGCCAGGGCACGCTGGGAGCTGTGGGCGGGCCGCCCGGACCCCCTCAGAGATGTCGGGGCTGAGGGTACAGGGTCCAGCTGAACGGGTGAAAGAGAAGGGATGCCCACGGGCGGGCTTCTCGGAGGGAGGTCGGGGGAGCGTCACGGCCGCAGAGCTCGGCTCCCCACTTACGTCTACGCACGGCCCCTTCTTGCCGCAGAGCCCCGAAAGGCAGTAACTGCGGGACTGCCGTAGCACCGAGTATCTCGGGCTCTGCCGGCACGCGACAGGATTGCGCGGCATGGCGGTGCCGGGGCATGGGAGCTACTCGCTCGGGCCTCAGTTTCCCTAGCCGTAAAATGAGACTAGACGCAGCGCCGCCTCCTGGACGGGCCGTGGGGGCGGACCACACCCTTGCGGGCACTGTCGAGCGGGATCCGTCTCCCATAGGGCTTTGCGGGTGACAGGAACTCCATCTCCCAGAACACCTTGCGACCGGCTGTGAGGTGGGGGCTCCCTTTCCTAGGGTGCGCCATGGGATGCGGGAACTCATTTCCCAGACTGCGCTGCGGGAGGCGGGGACTGCATTTCCCAGAGCGCCCCGCGGCCGGCCTGCCCGCGGTGGTAACAACTGACGGACCCAGTCGAAGGCCGGGACGTGCAGGGCTCTTCCCGCGGCGTCGGGAACGGTGGGCTTCGCTCGGGCGGTTTCCCGGCAGCATCACGATGGACAGTCCCGAGGTCACGTTCACTCTGGCCTACTTGGTCTTCGCCGTGTGCTTCGTGTTCACGCCCAACGAGTTCCACTCGGCCGGGCTCACCGTGCAGAACCTGCTGTCCGGCTGGCTGGGCAGCGAGGACGCCGCCTTCGTGCCCTACCACCTGCGCCGCACGGCCGCCACGCTGTTGTGCCACTCGCTGCTGCCGCTCGGTGAGGTGGGCCGCGCCACTCCCGGAGACTGCCACCTCCCCACCCAGGTCCCTCCAGTCCTGCCTGTAGACTCTGGCCCGGCCCCCCACGCCCCTGCCAAGCGTGGGGAACCGCTCACCGCCGGCCTCTTGGCGGCGGGTTGCCTGGCCCAGGTTGGAGCTGTGATCCCAGGACTCCCAGTGTTTGCAGGCACACACCCTTACCGAGGCTGACACGGCTTTCAGGGGTTCCCACGTTTCTGCTTGGTTCTCGCCTGTGAGGTTCAGGGCCAATTCTACTTTTCCAGAAGTGGTGTATCTGGCCTGGGGCAGGACCTGAGGACAGTGCCCAGTCTGCAGGCCCTTCCGGCCTCTCCTGGCCTGTTTCCTGGTGGGAGACATCAGGAGTCAGTTCAGCTTCTGTGACTTGTTAAGGGAAAAGGACTCCCGGGAGAGATCCCCTGGGGACCTGTGCCCTGAGCTCATTGGTTGGGGATGGGTTTGGGTTCATGCAACTAAGATCTCCCCTGCCCCCCAAACGTGGCTTAAGCCTGGTGGACTATCGCCCTCTCCCATAACAGAAGTCAGGAGGACAGTGCAGGGCTGGGGTGGGGGCTTCACAGGCACCAGTGAACCAGGCTCCCTCCAGCTCTCCCCTCTGCCACCATCAGCTGGCTGGGGGGAGAGGACCTGAGAGTCCCCATCAACACGTGCTTCCTCGCATGCCTGAAGTGAGGGGGCTGGCAAGTGGCTTTATCCAGGTGTGCCAGTTAGGAGATCCAGGAAACAGACGCTGAGACGGAGTTCATGATGCGAAGGGCTCCCGAGAAAGGAGCGGGGAGGAAGCGGGCTCAGGCAGGGAACAGTGTCGACTGTCCAGTGGGACACCCTGGGAGTCTGAGTTGGGGAGAAACGGCCAGGCTCCAGGACAACTGCCTTGCTCAGGTGTCGTCTGGGGCCACCCGAGAAGAGCGTGACCTCAGTGTAAGCTGGGCGCTGTTCTAGGGGGTTCTGAGTAGAGCTTCTCACGTCTGCCACTCGGGGGTCTTCTGCTTAAAGTGCTGGAAAAGTGGTGTCAAGCCAGCGGCTACAGTTAACTTCACCGGAGATGCAGCGTGACAGCTCTGTGCTGGCTGGCAAGTGACAGAAGCCAGGCCCTTAACCTTGGGCAGAGAGAGTTTTGGCCAAGCAGGGGTCAGCTGGGGGGACCTCACGACCACAAGAAAGAAGAGCCAGTAGTAGAGCACATCCTTTGGACCTGGGGATCTCTGCGCTAAGAATCTCCTGGACCAAGGAGACACAGAGAGTTGTAACAGTGGAGACTGCGAGAAGCAGAGGCAGTAGAACCAGGAGACCAGCGGGAGACAGCTCGGTGGGCTTCCATGCCCGCGGAACAAGAAAACTGAGTGCTTTTGGGCCGAGGCTTGCTGTCGGGGTGGGGTGCTCCGGGCACCTACTGGTGGAGCTGAAGAGCTTTGTAACACTTGCCCGAGCAGGGCAGAGGCCAAGGGCCAGAGAGAGGCATGTCTCAGACACTGCTGAGAAGAGGCTGTCCTGACGGAAGAACTATCCTGACTCATTTCTGCTTCTGAATTGTAACTTGCTACTTCCCTAATAAACCTCGTAATCGTGAGTATTGTTTGTGAGTGCTGTGTGGCCATCACAGCAAATTATGGAGCTCAGAAGAGTAGAGAGTGCCGTGGGAGTGACGATTGGTGTCAGAGAGGAGATGTGTCTGACCTCCATCTCACAGGAATCAACTTTGGGCTGTTGATTTTGATTTTCCTCCCCCCTTGCAAAGTTAGAAGAGATCAGACGCTGCCACCATGCCAGCTCATTGCTTGACACCTGGTGGGGGGTGGGGGAGCAGATCCCAGGACAAGGGCACAGGTTCGTAAATTGATTTCAACAGGAGGGGTTAGAGGGCTTCGTGGAGGAGGTGGCCTTGCTCTGGGCGTGGGAAGATGGACGTAGGGAGAGCTGGCAGAGATGGGGTAGGGAGGAAAGTTCCATGTTGGGGGAGCCACAGATGCAGAGGCCCAGGGAGGGCCTCAGGTGTGAGGCCAGGATGCTCAGATGTTACCCAGGGGCTGGCGGGGCCTCAGGAAGCTGGGGGCAGAAGCAGGTCTGGGAGCAGATGGCTGGTGGCAGGCACATCTGCAGCGCCACGGACACAGCAAGGTGCCCACTGGCAGAAGGATGCAGTGGTCTGGGCTGGAGAAAGGTGAGGCACGTGTCCAGTGGAAAGAACAGAGGTGGCCAGGTGGTGGGCTTGCCAGCTTCTGGTGTGCTGGGCAGAGGCTGGCCACTGGGACCTGTGCTGCCAGAGGCCTTGAGGAGAGGGTTAAGGCCTTGGTGGGTGGTGGGTGGACGGGAGGAACGGAGGCCGGACTCGGAGCCCCCTCATCACCTGTCTAGTCCTGATGCCCACCCCAGCCCCTGAGGCCTGATGAGGATTGTGTGGCTCCCCCAGCCAGAGTGGGAGAGGCTGAGGCAGCGAGGCCAGTGCTGCCCCTGGGAAGGGCAGGCAGAGGGAGGCCCCAGAGACAGCGTGGCAAGCCATGACCATGTTTGCCTGGCGTCAGGGTAACCGTAGTTGCTCCCTCGGCCTGAGCCCCTGACCATCCAGGAGCCCAGGAGCCCAGCAACCCTGAGACAGGGACGCTGCGAGCCGCGTCCCCAGATGAGGAGGGTGCGGCTGAGAGGGGCTGCAGCTGAGACGGGTGCCCCTGACAGGCTCATTCCCCTGCAAGGGCTGTGGGTTGGGTTTCTGCCCTTGCGAACTAAAGACCTAGAGCTCTCTGGATCCCAGCCGCCCTCTAACTGTGCCCTCAGCATGAGGGGCGGCGCTGCCCCCTCCTACCGTTGAGGAGATGGAAACCGAGGGAGCGCGAGCCACCCCAAGCCCACCCCAGGAGGAGCCAGTGAAACTGGGGCTCAGGCTGTCGGGCTCCTTCGTCACTTACCTACTGCTATCCAGGCTCACCAGCTCTCTCAGGCGTAGTGAGTTCAAACAGTAATAGCATTTATTGTTGTTTTTGCCAACTCAAGCTGTTCCACTATACGTGTCGTCACTCATGTTGATATTCATATTGTCCCCGACGTGGCCTCTAGGCTGCTGTGACTTGTCCCCATCATCCTTTGGCTTCCTGGCATCAGACGTCACAAGTGCTGCATGCACCCCGCCCCTGCTCCAGAACGGCGCCTTCTCCCATCGGCGTCTCCCAGAATGGGATTGAGAGGCCATGGCCTGGGCCCAAAGCTGCCGCCTGAGCTGTGGCCAGCCAGTGGTCATCTCTGGGTGGGGTGACACCAGATCATTGTGTTTATTTTCCCCTTTCTAGATTTTTCTAATTTTTCGGTGCTTGTGTGTTACCTGTATAAAACTGGGGCAGTAAATTAAAAGCCATTGCCCCTAACTTACTGTACTACCACTGTGGACAAGGGCTGAGGCAGGCCCTGCTGTGGTGGCGCGGAGCTGGGTGGGCGCACCTGCCCTGGGTGCTGCGGCCTCACCCTGGGAGCGGTCCAGGCCTCAAGTGACCAGGGCAGAGGGTCAGGCCCAGGGCTGGGGATGGGAGAGGAAGTACCCCCTCTCTGGAGATATAGGGACAGCGCTGTGGCCCTCGGTTGACACAGCTGGGAGGTGGACAACGCCCTGGCCAGTCCCTGACCCCCGCTGAAGCTTGCTTGTCCCTTGCAGGCTACTACGTGGGCATGTGCTTCGCGGCCTCAGAAAAGCAGCTCTACGTGCCCAGTCAGGCCCCGGAGGCCTGGAGGCTCTTCCTCCTGCTGGCGGTGACCCTCCCTGCTGCAGCCTGCATCCTCACTTACCGCTGGTCATGTGACCGTTGGGCCCACCACCCGCTGGCCCGCACACTGGCACACTATGCCCTCCCACAGTCGGGCTGGCGGGCCGTCGCCTCCTCCATCAACACTGAGTTCCGGCGGATCGACAAGTTTGCCACTGGGGCGCCAGGCGCCCGCGTGATAGTGACGGACACGTGGGTGATGAAGGTGACCACATATCATGTCCACGTGGCTCAGCAACAGGACGTCCACCTGACCGTGACAGAGTCACGACAGCACGAACTCTCACCAGACTCGAACCTGCCCGTGCAGTTCCTCACCATTCGTGTGGCCGGCACCAACCCCTATGTGAAGGCCTTCGATATCCGGTAAGTGTGGTCATAGTGCCTTCACGAGCAGACCCCACGCCTGGGTAGGGGTGAGCCCAGGGGCCCGTCTGAGGGCACACAGGTGGGTGACGCTGGGCACAGTGGGCGCAGGCGGACTGCGGCACAGCTGTGTGTGACACCAGCCAGCGTAGCCCCCGACACCTGCGCACACGCGGGTCAGTCTGAACAGAAACCAGTGACGGGTGTGGGTCTCGGGCCTTGGAGGCACCCTGTCTCGGTGCCCCCAGCCTCCTGCTCCCCCTTCCTCCTTACCTATACCCCTCACCTGCCTCCGGCCCCCACCTGCACCCCCACAGGCACTCGAGGCTTCCAGATGCACTACCTCTTCGCCCGTCCTCCTTGAGCCCCTTCTTAGCTTCTTGGAGCACACTGGGCACATTTGGCGACATGCAAGGACAGGAGGCCTGGTGGCTGCCTTGGCTCCAAGGCCCCTGTCCCTGTCCCTGTGTCTGGCCTGTCTGCCTGTCCTGGCCCCCTGTGGGGACACACCTCGGGCCTGTGAGCCTGCTGAGTCCAGGCGCTTTCTGTGTCCTGCATCCTGTGATCCTCGCCCTTGCTTTCCCTCCAGACGTCCACGGCAGGGGCGGGCGAGGTACAGCCAGGCCATAGTCACTCTCTGCAGGAGGCCTTCCTGGGCAGCTGGGCTGTGCTGGGCTGCCCCGCCCTGGGCACACAGAAGGCCCCAGTAGGCTCTCTCTTCTGTGCAGACTCAACTCGGCGGAGTACGGCGAGCTGTGTGAGAAGCTCCGAGCACCCATCCGCAGTGCGGCCCACGTTGTCATCCACCAGAGCCTGGGCGACCTGTTCCTGGAGACCTTCGCCTCTGTGGTGGAGGTCAACCCGGCCTACTCCGTGCCCAGCAGCCAGGTGGGGAGTGGGCAAGCAGGCGGGGGACAGTAGGGTGGCCGGGTCCCCGTGGGCTGTGCCAACAAGCTGTTTGTGCAGGAGCTGGAGGTGTGCATCGGCTGCATGCAGGCGCGCGCCGCCGTGAAGCTGGTGAAGACCTGCCAGGAAGCGGATGCTGGGCAGTGCCAGCAGTGCTACTGCCGCCCCATGTGGTGCCTGACCTGCATGGGCAAGTGGTTCGCCAGCCGCCAGGACCCGCAGCACCCCGAGACTTGGCTGGCCAGCCGTGTGCCCTGCCCCACCTGCCGTGCCCGCTTTTGCATCCTGGACGTGTGCACCATCCGCTGACGGCTACACTGGCCTAACCCCGGGGGCGCGGGTCAGCCCCCGCCTGCTCCAGACCTCGCCCCCATGCCTTCAGTGCCGCTGGGCGGAGCCAGTGGGAGCGGGAGCCCTGCCCTGCCCCAGGCCCCACCTTCTCAGCCAAGGGCTCTGAAAGCGCGAGAGTCCAGCAGCCCTCCCCCCAGAAAGGAAAGGAAGGCCTGCTGAAATTCTTCTGGGCCCATGGCCGCCAGCAGTCCCCTGGGTGGCGGGCCCGGGGCCCCTCAGCACCTTCCCTTTGCCTCTCTCCTCTTGGCTTCTCCAGGGAGGGCAGGTGCTCAGCACAGAGAGCTCCATAGCCCCCTGAGTTCCTCGGGGAGACTGGGGGTCTGCCCCAGATGGCCCTCACCTGGGCCACGTGCCTTAATTTTAAGGAACAGAACTGATCCTTAGTTACAAGTGAGACCCAGGTCTGTCTAAGCTGTGGCTATCCTCCCCACCTCATCCCTGAGCTGGCCGCGGGCCCAGGGGGTACCCTGGCTGTGCATGGGGACAGGCTCGGCACCTCCCGGTGTGACCCCAGGAGGGGCACCCGGCCTGTGCTCCACCCCTCTCCTACTTGTAGGGAAGTGGCCCAGCCCGGAACACCAGCTCGTCCTGGGCATTGGCGCCCCCTGCCCCCAGGCCATGGGGGCTGCTTGTAGGACCCCAGGTAGTATCTGAGAGTGGAGGGGGAGCACATGCGGGATGCCCAGGGTCAGTGCCACTGAGGTGAGACTAGGTGGCCGCCACAGACAGGTGTGAGCCTGGCCAGCCTGCAGGCTGCCTGCCCGTGAAGACACCAGGCTTGAGTGCCTGCTTGCCCTGGGGCCAGGGAAGGGCTGGCTGCTCTCCGCAGCCCACTCCCTCAACTTTATGTTCCTGGGATGTCGTGCGGACGCCCCCCCACCTCGCCGCGGCACTTGCTCTGTCTTCGGTGCCTTCTGCTGCCCCCACCAGGAAGGCCAAGGCAGGGGTCCTGGGCCTGGGGGCATTAAGCTGAAGACCACAGCTCCCCATGACACCCTCAGCTCCGTGCCTGGAAATGAGCCCAGCGAGGAGATCTGCCAGCACGCAGCGTGGGTCAGCCATAGCCCTCAGGGCCGCCAGGTTCAGAGAGGCCCACACCCGAGGGTCGAGATGCCGAGGGACATCTTGCCCAGTTCCTGATGGGGCAGGTGGGGAAGGGGAAACAGAGCCAGCCACAGAGGCGGCACGGGTGGCAGGCACGGCTGTGGGAGGAGGGGGGAGCTTGCTAGCCGTGGGCAGGGCCCTCCTCACTCTGGAGTCCTGTCACCCTAGAGCCCTGAACATTGGCCCTTTCAGCAAGCGTGGTGGCCCCACCAGGGCTCAGCTGCCTGACCCAGTGCCTGGGGGCTGAGGCCCATCCCCATGGCCCCAGGGGGAGCTCCCAGACAAGGCAGTGAGAGGGTGGCAGGCGGAGCCAGATCCACCCATCCCAGAGTTTCAAGTGTGGCTGGGCAGTATGGGGGTATTTTTACACAAAAGAAAATGAGTCCGTTTTACAAAGATAGGTCTATTGAAGCTACACGATACTATGTTTAATAAAACAGTACTCTGAAGTTACAGGCTTTTCCCAAATGGAATGTTTTGTTTTACCTGATTCTGAACTCAAGCTTTGATAATAATTGGGGGAAAAGTGACCAGGGGACATCTGAGAAGCAGTTTTAGAAATAGAAGCACCATGCCCACTGCAGCGTGGTGTTTGTTTAAGTGACGTCAAGTTGGTTCTGACTCATAGTGACCCTATGCACCACCGAACGAAACCCTGCCCGGTTCTGCTCCACGCTCACAGTCATTGTTATGCTTGAGCCCATTGTTGCAGCCACTGTGTCGGTCCATCTCATTGAGGGTCTTCTTCTTTTTCACTGACTCTCTACTTTACCAAGCATGATGTCCTTCTCCAGAGACGGATCCCTCCTGACAACATGTCCAAAGTATGTGAGATGTAGTCTCGCCATCCTTCCTCGTAAGGAACATTCTGGCTGCACTTTTTCCAAGACAGATTTGTTCGTTCTTCTGGCAGTCCATGGTATATTCCATATTCTTCACCAGCACCACAATTCAAAGGTGTCAACCCTTATTCATTATTCCTTATTCACTGTTCAGAATAAGGAATAGAAAACACACATTTGTCGGGAGGCAGGTGCGGCAAGAACCTTGGTCTCTGATGTCCTAGTTGGAAGCCCTGGGTCCCAGGCCTGCAGCAGGGCCAGGTTGGGAGGAACAGAGCGGGAGGCAGCCAGGCATGTCAGGCCTGAGAGTTCTTGGTGAAGGTGCTGTGGCCAATCGTTGTGGCCTGCCTGATGGGTGCCAGGCCGTGGAGGCCTCCTGCTGTACCCAGGAGAGGACAGTGTCTGCCAGCCCAGACAGGGGCCTGTGTGTGATCCCTTCCAGACCCAGGAGCCGATGTGGGGGCTCACTTGTGACCCCTGCGGGCCAAGGCCTCCACCCCCGAGCTTGTAGCTGAGTGCAGACTGCCGTATCTCTTGTGGGGACCGTGGGCTGCTCAGCTAACCTTGACCATGGACCAGTGAGGCCCAGGCATCGAGGGCTGAGCACCCAGGCAGCCAGGCGTTACTTCTTGGCCTTCACCCTGCCTGTACTCTGAGCAGCAGCCAGTGCCACCTGGGCCTGCTGGGACCGCCACAGCCAGACAGTCCTCCATGTTTGCCACTGCTTCCCCCGCACTGCTCCTCGACCCCAGGAGTTGTGAAGAAACAGCACATCCAACCTAGTTGAAAGGGACTACAGGTGGACAACAGTCTTCTGCGTTCTTGATTTTCCTTCCGGCACAGGGCCTTCTCTTAATGTCACTCTTCGGCACGCACAAGTCAGTTTGCTTTAGCCAATAGGCACATAGCACCTGTGGTTGTAATGCCGTGTCAGGACCCGTCTGCACTGCCCTCATCCATGAGGAGGGGTGAAAATCAAGATCAGCACAAAGCTGATTCTTAGGAGGTGGAGGTGAGACGTACCTCCTCTCTCCAACTTTTTCACCATTTCTGACACCAGCCGCCCCCCCCC